TCATGTTTTTTTATTAGTGTTGTATTTCTATATCCTTATATCGCTATTAATAGTATAGGGCGCTACTCTCATTATTAAGCAATTTAATTGAATCGATAATTACCAAGTAGTTTACCTTGATAGTCGATGGCATAACGGTACTATTATAAATTCCGTCCGTGAGTTCTGTCCTCAATGTGTGAACAATATAAATAAATATCAATATCAATTACAGCTTCAGAAAAGTAAATACAGTTATAATGTTGACATACCAATTCCCAAATTCAAAGTGTGATCCACATTCGGTAGAAGATTGTAATAATTTGATCCAGCTTCCCTATGCCTCCATCTATAGCTTCCCATCGATGTAAACCCACAAAGATCAGAATTTGACTCAAAATCACAATTTAATTCTGATAAGGTTGAGTTTGGAAGTGATTGAGTTGGAAGCAGTGCTGAAAAAATGATTAAACTGCACAGTAATTATAAAGTGGAAAATAAAACGAAAGAGACAGACCTTTTGTAATCCAAAATATATATTTTATATTCAAAATAACTATTGTTATATTTCAGATACTGTGATTATATATACGTTTAAAGTATTATGGTGAAAATGTTCAATTTGCAGTGGCAATTTTTGTTTTATTATAAATAATTTTATATTTTCAGTGGCAATTTTTTATTTCCATTATTCATTTTCACGATTATTCTTATTTCTTTATTGTCATCGTGGTTGTTTTTCCTTTTTCTCTTTTTTTTTCTCAAATTTTATTGTTTGGGTGTTTGTTCCGTCATTTTTTTATACCTATATTTCTATTTGGCTTTTTACAGCAGTAGCTGCAAAAGCCATTGTTTTTGTTCTGATTTTTTTCTTTTTTCTTCCATATCGTTTTTTTTTTTTTTTTTTTTTTTTTCTTCTTTTGTACTGGGGTTTTCAGTCACACCATGACACCGAGGCGCCCATGATCTCCTAGATATCTACAACGATCTCATAATGATTTCACCTGTCCGGGTCCCCTAGATATCTACAACGATCTCATAATGATTTCACCTGTCCGGGTCCCGCACCATCTCCAAACATCGGAGAACATACGACGACGACGTCATCGACCAACTGATGATGACATGACCACTGACACCTATTTCAGTCAGTTGAAAAAGAATTGTGGTACAATTCGAAACGTCTAAGTAAGTACTCCGTTTTTTATTCCAATGGTTTTTACAAAAAAGAAATCAATAACTTATCTTATTACGAGTAAAGCCACTTAAGCTTGGTTTCCATACAAAGCGCTACACCCTGTCGCCGAATCCTATGGCGGCGCTGATTGGTCAGTTGAATCAGGAAGCGTTCCCGATTTCTGTAGGGACAGCTATGCAGTGCAAGGATTGCAGTGGGGAAAAAAAGCGGTTGGCCCACCGGTTATGGCTTGAACTCCCAACTTGAGGTCGAGGGTTCGAAACTCTGGCTGTGCAAATCGCTTTGGGTAAGGCACTTTATCTGCGGTTGCCTCTCTCCATCTAGGAGTACAAGTGGGTACCAACACAACCTTCGCTGATTACTAGCTGCAATATTATGGAATGATAATATAATTTCATAGGAGTGATGTTTTGCCCTACCTGACGTGATATCATACCGAATACTCAGTACGTCCCCAAATACTAGCGAAAGAAATTCGCAAGTGATTCGGGTGGGAATCGAACCCACGACCTCCAGGTGTCTAGCTTGATATCTTAACCACTAGACCACCGAGCTTGCGCTTGGTGACGAGTGATGAATCCGATCCCCTAGTAGCAGCGGGTACTGCAACACTAGGGAAAATCAAAATTCCCAAGATTGGGTCTAAAAAATCCGAAGATTGCTTTTAAAAACCCAAGATTCGCAAAATATTATTATTGCCTATATACATAAACTTCATTTAAAAGTCCTTCATTTTAAAGCTTTTTCAATGAATTATATACTGTACTCCAGGTGTCTAGCTTGATATCTTAACCACTAGACCACCGAGCTTGCGCTTGGTGACGAGTGATGAATCCGATCCCCTAGTAGCAGCGGGTACTGCAAGTGCTATAAAGATATGAAGTTTGCGTCAGGAAATAATCATAGGAGTGATGTTTTGCCCTACCTGACGTGATATCGTATTGAATACTCAGTACGTCCCCAAATACTAGCGAAAAAAAAAGTCGCAAGTGATTCGTGTGGGAATCGAACCCACGACCTCCAGGTATCTAGCCTGATGTCTTAACCACTAGACCACCGAGCTTGCGCTTGATGACGAGTGATGAATATAATATAATTTCATTTACTAATTTAATTTGGTGTTCAACGTGTTCCATATGTGTTTGATCCAATGACCGGGGTGAAGCGCATAGAGGCCTTGTAAGGGCATGAAATGCTATAGATAAGAACGACATATTATAAAACGCTGTAGCAACTGCTTAGCGATTCTATGGAAACCAAGCTTTTAACATCAGCACTGCACTAAATACATTTTTTTCATGGAGACAATATTCGTGGGAAATTTATAAAGAGGAGCATTATGATATTGGTGGATGTATGCAGCACTCTCAGTTTTTTTGTTTTTTTTTGGTTTTTTTTCAATGGTTGGCTCTTTTCCAAATTCTGTTCAAGCATAGACCATATATCAAGGATGTGTCTCCTAATATTTCGTGTCAATCTAAAGTGGGGTGTGGATGTGAGGACCACTTAAAGGGATTTATGTGCAAACACTATATTCCAGATATCTGAAAAACTGGTCAACTGACCTGAATACAACTTTTGGGAAGTGAAGACATTTACATTTTAAGGTTTTAATTTAAAATTAAATTTCTGACACCCAAGACCTAAATATCTGTAAAAATTATTCAATGGGTCAAAACCCATTTACCAGTAAATGTCCTATACCAGATATCCCAAAAACTGATCGACTGATCTAAATGAAAATTTATGGGAAAAAATATGTTACGAGGTAGAAACTATTAAATTTTAGTGGCGGCCAAGATTTCGGTGTGAATTTGAGGGTCATTTAGTGTGCAAAGGTCTCATACCTAAATATCTATAAAGTATCAATGTACTTAAATGAAATTTTCTAGAATACTTTGTAATATTTTAATGATGAAATGTTAAAACTTTGGTTACGATCTAAAGTAGAGTGTGGATATGAGTAGCATGTAAAAATATTTTTGGACTGGTGATTAAACTATATAAACGTAAGCTGCGTTAACTAAAGCATTTCAAACTAGCAGAAACTAGGTTAATTGCAAAATTACCGTGAAATGCATGAACAATTTTTGCTCTCCAGGCCCGTAGCCAGGGGGGGTTTTAATGGTTCGGGCGAACCCCCCTGTTTTTTAGCGAACCCCCTCGAATTTTTGAATGAGGCCCACTCGGAAAGAATGTCTGTTTTTAACTTACCCAGCATTAAATCAAAATTTAGCACCTAATTCATTATTAATTGGTCACCCGTTTTTAAATTGTAGCCTGCGATACAAGCCTACATTCATAGAATATCTTGGTTTCAGAAGTTCGGAGATTTAAATTGAACTCCGGCAAACCATGACTTTACGATAGCTCCCATAAGGATGGCGAACATCGATAAAAACTTTCACTGGCCTTTGGCTGAATGTTTGTAATAAATGCACCAACCAGTAATAAAACCGGTCTCCGTCTACCTAGAGTAAAATTAATGGCGCCACCAAACGAAGATAAAGTTTTGCGACTTAATCCAGCAAATGCAGCTAAAGTTTTGCGACTTAATGATTGTGGATTGTGTGGTTCGTAAATTCCATAGCCATACTCTCCATAGCTCACACTAAACTATTCGCTGATGGAGCATTTTTGAGAAATTGACTCTCCTTTTTTCCATCCCAAACAAAATATTATTAACAAATCAACATGGTCCATCTTAGTCTTCATAGCGAGTCACAAAATGAGGAAGTTTGTTTTCAACAGCAGACACACACAACAGAACTGA